AAAAAAAAAAAAAAAAAAAAAAAAAAAAAAGGAATAGTATTGTGGCAGACAGCTTCTTATGCAGAATGAATTCAAGGTGATTGGGAGGGGTAGAAGCCCGAGGTATGAGGTGGCAGAAGTGGGTGAGGAAGAGAAGATCAGGTCTGAGAGTTCAAAAGAGGGATTCATATGACAAAGAATTTTGTAAAAAGACAAAAAGAACCAGATTATTTTATAAATAAGCTAGAAATATGTAGTCACGATATTTGTAAGAGCAATCTGAACCAGAAATTAAGAAAATAGGAAGGAATCTTTTTATCCCCTCCCCTCAAAAAAACTAATTTAAAAGAATGTATATATATTTTTTTTATTCAGTGGAATTTCTTTTTTCCTTTTTTTTTTTTTTTTACATCGCATGTGGTTTTGGGTACTTTCTTTTAATTAAATTAAATTAATGTGGATAAACTTTTTGAGTTTGTTTAGTTTTATAACTGAATATTGTGGCATCTGTAGTTAATCCTGTTTTCCTAAGTATCCATAAAATGATGTTAAATAACGGTTTTATCATGGTTTGGAGCAGTATTTTTTTTCTTAACCTCCGCAGAGAGTGGAGAAAGGGGGTCAGGATGTGCTACTGTGTAGAAGCTGGGAGCAAGTTAGTGTTACTGAGCGTCTGTGGGCGGGACCGCGCAGAAGACTGAGCCTCCTGGGGTGATGCCCAGCACAGAGCACCAGACCCTGCCTCACTCTTGTCTTTGAGTGACAGCCAACAAGGACACCGGAGGGCTGTATATGTGGCACTACACCAACTGAACTTCTGCCTCATCACTCTGGTAACAACCAGCTTTGATAAAGGCCTCCAGTGACATTCACGTAGCTACATCCAATGGAGATATCTGGTCCTCCTCTTTCTGGAGTTCTGAGAAGCCATGACACTTAATCACTCTGCCTTTTGGAAAAAAACACTCTTTTTCTTTGGCTTCAGAGACACCATAATTCTCTTCCCTCTTCTCTGGCTGGTCCTTCTTCATAACAGTAAGTTTGTCACCCACATGTTAAATTTGGGAGCTTCGTTGGGCCGGCCGAGTGGTGCGATGGTTAAGAACTGGCTTGGGACGCCAGAGGGCCCCGGTTCGGATCCCACATATGAGGGCCAGTGACACTGCCCTCCACAGCTAAGATGCTGAACANGCCCCGCCCCTTCCCATGCTCGTGGCCCCGCCCCGCACACCCACCCTCGCAGGCCCGCTCCTTTCCAGAGGAAGCGTCTAGAACGCAGGCCTTGGTTCGCGAACGCCTCTACGTCTCCCTAGGGGTGTGTGGTGTGCAAACAGCATTGTTGTCAATCAAGTGGCGTCTGTGAGTTTCAGGAGCCTCACGGTGGATTCTTTGGTAAAAGGAGAATCTTTTTACTAGGAGCTTACTCACCCCTCATTTATACCTTTATTAATTTCTAGGTTCAGTAACCTCCTCCAGCTTCACTCTGAGTTTCTCTCTTCGCTTCTCTCTTCGCTCCTCCTTTGGGTGATCCTTTCCGCCCTTGTCATCCTACTCTTCCCACACGCTGAAATTGCTGAGATCATGTGTCAGGTGGTAGAATTCACCAGTTTTTAAAACAAAAGCTTTTAACCCAAAGATTTTGGTGGACGGGTAAGAGAAAGGACGAGAACCTCCCCAAACTTTCCAGCCTTCAGGACAGAATGTGGGTCCTTGTAAATTGCCTTTGATTCTTGCTCAGCTGGGGTCCCCGCCCCAGGTGTCTCCTCTTGGGACAGGTCGCCCTTATTTCTCCTGGAGGAGACAGCTATATTTCACCAGGGATGAAGTGATTTATGTGCACAATTTAAAGAGTGTTTTGGTGCTCTGAGGAATGCAAAATGCAGCATGACTTGACGGTACAATATACTTCGGGGAAAATGTGGAATGCACTGAATGTTTTCTTTTCCTTCTTTTAAAACTAGTTTAAATCTGTCAGTTATGAGACTGTTGAACCATGTGCTAATGTGCAATTCTGCCTCTGACACTGTCGGCCAGGATTGACCCGCCATACCAAGGCTGAAGGCAGGGCTTAGTCACCCAGGGGTTTTCTGAGTCACAGATT